ATATTATTATTAATATTTTCAGTTTGCCTGCTGTTTGTTTTTGTCATGTCTCCCCCTTTTCTACTTCTTGTGGGGAGTAGGGTTGGGCAATATTGGCAAAAAAATAAATTAATCGCGATTAATTGTGGTATTTAGCCGATAACGATTCGACAGTTAATCCCCTGGAGTCCCTGGACACCCTTATGACCTGGTCACATGACCAGTTTAGTGGGAAATATTTGCTCTTCGTAAAAATCTGTTCCAAATTGTGTCAAAATTACAGTCTTCAGGCTATACATCAATTTTTTAAATTGTGTTGATAGAAAAACAAATTAAAGAACTTTTTCTTTTAATGTTCATCGTATTTGAAGCTGAGAGGAGCACCGAGCGGACTCTGCCTGGTGGCATTAATCGTATTAAACACCAGGTGCCAAAAAATAATCAATAGTTTTTCTGACGATTAATTGCACACAATACGCTTATTGTGTGTGGACTGTGACGTTAGGTATTTGCCAGGCACGTGGTCTTGTAACTTCTGTAGCACGAGAACCCGAGAGCTCCATAGAGGAGCAACTTCAGTTGTCCCATTACTTCTTTCAGCTGGCAACGCCCTCAGGGCACCGTGCTGAACCAGTTTGCAGAGTTGTTGTGTGTTTTTTTTACACTACGTASATTTCATACACTTCTGTATATTTCATAAGCAGTGTCCAGGTGATCGCCATTATTTTATGAAGACAAAATAATAACTGTGTTGTCCTATAGACATAGGTATTGATTTTATAGCTTCATTAGCTGTTGTTGTGTGTTGTTTTCACAAACTCCGCTCCCGATCTGTCCTTAAATTTATGTAAATTTCATAAACTTCCATAAATCTTGGAATGGGTGTGGACAGTTATTTTATGAATCCAGAAGAAGACACAATAAATTGTGTCGGCTTGGATAGAGGAAGTGGGAGGTGATTTTACAGCATCAGCAGATGTTGTTCTGTGCTGTCACAATCGCCAGTCCAGTTTAGTTTGYAATTTTTTATTATGTACAAAAAATTTCATAAACATTCATAGGCTTTGTAAGTAGGGGTGGGGTATTATACCAGTTTAAAATGGTCTTCAGCTGATTATTATTGATCGCAATAGTTTCTGAGACAACTTATTGTTCAGCAAAATTTGTTATTGAGGAAGGCCTATGTATGACAAATTTAACATACATACAGGTGCTGGTCATAAAATTAGAATATCATGAAAAAGTAGATTTATTTC